CATTCACAATGCCAAGCAGGCTTGGATGAAGTTGCCCTCCTGCATTGGAGGGCGTTGACAATGACGATGCAACAGCAGGGGTCATTGCACTTATCGGTAGCTCTTGTATGCGGGGTTGTGGGTGGTGTGATGTGATATGGGTGTGATGCTCCATTGATAGATCTGATATTGACGAGAAGTCGTCAATTTTAGATGTGCTTGCAAGTGTTTTCGGCTTCGATTTGGATGCGATTAGTCTTGGCTATTCCAGATATGCAGAGCATACTGAGCGATTACACTGACACTACTGGAAGGTGAAGAATTCGTTTTTGCCAGCAGATGTTTTTTAATGATTTAATGTGTATTCAGCTATCTAGCTATGACACATGAATAGTGCTGTGTATACAATTTGGATGATTCTTTTGATGTTAGAGACACTCATACTCTGGATTTCATTCGCAAATACCACTTTGGAGTATGTTTGCTTACACAAACATTCGAAACTCCTCCGTAAGTATTCATCAAAGGGAAATTCAAAACCTTTGACTTTCCAAGCATGCCTTTGTCAGTCATACATACCAGCGTCACGAGATATTTAGTTTGTTTTTGCCGGATTCGAACCAGTGGCCTTCTGTCTCACGTGGGATATATTTCCAAGCTGTCTAGACCCTACTTGGGAGACCGGCCAAGACGATGTACCAATGCATCATCCACCCAAGGTAGTGTTTAAAGTGTCAGCTGCACTCTCGAAATCGATTCCTGGCGCGCATAAAGATCAATTCGTAAAAGCTACTGTCAAAATTCTAAATTTCACGCCCGTTGAGACTGTATCCATCCTTTGCATCATCTTGTGAACTTGTCCTGAATCCTCTCACGCCAATCCCAAAGAAAAGTCTCCCAGATTTGTACGCCACGCTTTGTGTCCTCCGTCGGGTGTGAATATCGGCGTGGGCGTGTATTTGGTGACCGGCTGAGGCCAGAGAAAGTCAAAGAGAGGTGTGGTCATTAAAAGGAAGATATGCTCAGTCGTACCTATAAGCTTGATGAGTTGTTGGTGGGGATAGATTTTGTTGTGTGGGAGAAATTGATCAGGTGGAGAGTCTTGAATTGTTGCCTCGTGGGCCAACTTGTTCGATGTTCCGAAATTTGACTGAACTTGGCTTTTTAGGAATATTTGACTCCCAGGTTCGTAGAGAACACCGTGAACAGTTGTCCAGCCATTGCCCTCCGGTGTCGGATATGTATATCCGTGTTTATTGTCCTATAACGTCTATGACTATGCAAGGACATATAGGTACTTTCTACCTCGTATAGTATCAAATATCTGACAGTTTGGAACCTATTGAATTTAGAAATGAGAATCATTGGATATTAGGATGACACCTCCTATCGGATTAACTCACTCGAGCTTTGATATCTCACCAGGGACATGGTGATTAGGTTGTTCAAGATGTTTCGGATATTCAGGATAGTCAGGATGTTCAAAGCTCCAACTTAATATCTTTTGATCTCCAACACACGTGATATATTTCATATGTGATTTTGGGAAACAAGAAGATATCTCTCCCGGAAATAATTTCAGATGGGTAAATAGCATCAAGGCCGGAGAGGAGTTGAGGAGCAGAGATTTCATCAATACAAATTTACTCACCATTTTTCATTTGACCCTCAGTGTCTAACAGGAAGTGTACTCCCTCTTATATCTCCTTCAAGACTTCTGTTCAGCAGTAGTACCCCCACAGGTCTTCATTCGAGTACACACTAAGAGGAGCCATTATCCTGTTATTATCTCTCCTCTTCAGCCAACGAAACGATGGCCATTTGCGGTCAGGCGTCGGATAGTTTACATACTATATCCACTCTTAATACAGTGGCTGGCATTATAATATATATCTCGATCACACCAGTAATCGAGGTCTATTGTTACGGTTTGACCGTTGTTTTAGCTTAGGAGGAAACCTAAGCGTTTAATTAGGAATAATTACGATAAGACTGAAAGAGGAAGGATGGGCAAATAGAGATGAAATAGCACTACTAGCCAGGAGGTCGAAGCAACATCATAGCGTAATGGCTCCTGGTAATACTTGGCTCAGTAGCAAGTATTAGGCCTAGCGGGAAATTATCAGTCAGCAGATTCACGAAGCGGACCAAACGTTATAAGTACCTGTTAGTAGTAGCTAGAGATTTCTTTCCTCTTCATATAGTTTAATAAATTGATTTATTCATTACCAACTCGGTTTCCGTCACATCTATAGAAGTATGGGAATATTAACTACCTAACTTAGTATCAAGTGAGGAACACAATTAGAATGAGACATACCTGCTTAATGTTAATAACACAAAGTTACTCAGTGTTTCTTACACACTAAGATTTACCACTTCAGTATAACAACAAAATTTTGCCACTTTCTCATTTGATCTATCAACTCAAGTCCTAATCATTCTAAAGTGATGTGTCGTAAATGTCTAACTACTCTTAACGCACTTCCCAAATAACTCTGTCATTTTTGACATGAAAATATGTACCAGTAGTAGGAAAACCACAATTTCAATGTGGATATCCGTCTCAAAACATAAATCATATGGTGGTGTCTAATCCAAAATGGCGATGGGAAGGGCGATTTGTAACGAAAACCGACAACCCGATCCTTCAAAACTACACAAAATAACGTCAAAGATATGACAAAAATTGCACAGTGTACCAAAATGAAGGATGGCTAGAGTATTCGAGGCGTTAATCAGGCGAAGAGGGGAACATGGTAACACAGGTCAGGGAAGGAATTAACACAGGCAACACCAGTGTGAGTGTACATCCTCGAAGTATGACCATAATGGCGTAGAATCCAATAATACATCCAAGGAGGATCTCTAATGCAAAGTTTGTTCCATTGTAGAGGATGAAGTTCGATAGACACTTGCATGGGCCCATAGGCTGCCAAATCAGGATTTTTTTTTTATCGTTTAATGTGTATTCAGCTACAAAGCTATGACACATGACCGGTGCTATGTATACACGTTGGATGACTCTTTTGACGTTAGAGACACTCATACTCTGGATTTCATTTGCAAATACCACTATGAAGTATGTTCGCTTACACAAACAGTCGACCCTCCTCCGTTAGTACCCACCAAAGGGAATCTCAAAACCTTTGGTTATCCAAGCATGCCTTCGTCATCCATGTATACCAGCGCCGCGAGAAATGTGATTGTGTTTTGCCGGATTCGAACCAGCGATCTACTGTCTCAAGTGGGATATGTGTCCAAGCTATACAGACTCTACTTGGCAGACCGGCCAAGACGATGTACCACCGCACCATCCAACCATGGCGGTGTTTATATTGTCGCCTGCACTCTCGCAACCGAAGTCTTGGCACGCACAAAGCTCAATTTGTAAAAACTCCTTTCCAAATTTCAAAATTCCATGCCCGTCGAGACTGTATCCATCCTTCGCATCATCTTGTTAACTTGTCCTGAATCCTCTCACGCCAATCCCAAAGAAAAGTCTCACAGATTTGTGCGCCACGCTTTGTGTCCTCCGTCGGGTATAAATAGCCAAATCAGGATAATGAAATAAAAAAGAGTTTAATAACTTAATTATCCTGATTTGGCGCCCTGAGGGCCAAAGCTGATATTTTCGGAATATATATATTTAGTGTAGAATGACTCATCTTGACACTTGGAACACTCACACGAAGACATAATTTGCATGTAGCACTCGAAGGTAACCCTTGCGGAATGTAACTGCTTCCGTGAATAACCAGCACTGGGAAAATCATCAGAATTCTATGATTATTCGAGTGCGCTTCCGCCACCCGTTCAAAACGCTATCACTGCGAGAGATAATATGTGGGGCTTGCTAAATATGAACAAACTTTGTTCGGCCCCACGTGGGGTATATATCCAAGCTACCCAAATATACTTGGTGGGAGGGCCTGGAAAGTGTACCACTGCACCATCTAAACCCTTACATCTCGTATTGTCTCCTATCAGATAGATAACCCTAAATTTAAATATTGTATCATGATGTCTAATTTGAGTAGTTTACAACCAAGTAAACTGGGCTGATGCATCAAGGGCAATAACTTAGTCATGCAAATGTTACAACTAGCGACTAGACGGATGGCCAATTTCATATGCACAACTCTCTTGTTGTTTCACTTTCTCTATTGCTCATGATAATGTAACAGCCAATTTCAGAACCATGTATGGAACGGAGATTTGAGCAGTTCGCTTGGGCAATCTAATAGTCAGTCTATATTTGGAATTAGTAGGATACTCAAGATGTATATAGTACCTAGATAGATTCCTCATAGTAGAGGATAATCAATTCAATCAACTCTGTGAGAGGTTCATATTAATATAACTTTGCTTAACATCTTCATCGCTGGCCAGGTGTCACGAAGGTTTTAAAGGGAGTACACAACAGTATATTTAGAAGTTCTTGCGTGGTGGTTGAAAGGTATTATATATCATGATATATTCTAACGCAACATGAAATTAAAGCTATTGCTTAACCCTAGCAAGTAATAGAGTTGGATGGAAGGAAATAGTTTCGGTTGACATATTTGCAGGGTTCCTGCCAGCTCGAAATGACACGAATTTTTCACTGTACAAGAGCGCAGCGTTTATCTATAATCGTTATCGTCATCCCTTAGTTACTTGTTACGTCAAGACTACGACGGCTTGGTCTCAAGGGGATATAAATGACAGGCTATTATCGTTGCGAGCCTTGTGGTACCAATAGAGAAGAGACCTACTCCATGATCAGCCTCGTGATTTGCCCGAACAGTTAGCGAGTGCTTTTTTTACCCACGGATCATTCCTCCCGCAGCTACACACATGACGCCCCTTGCTCCCTGTTCATGAGTACCGGAGCTCATTACCAGTACCTTGCCAACTTCGGGTCGCAATGGAAACTATAAGTTTATGGCGGCCATCTCGACACCCATTAGCTGAGCAGAGGCTGATGACGAAGCTGCCGCCGCCACGAGGAAAACACGCTCGTAGAATTTGTTTTGCTCATGGAATTAGGACCGGACAGGCCAAAGTTCGAGAAGAAAGATGGACAGAATGATCTACGGAATTACGATGAAACCACTATGGCAAAGGCAGATACTTCAGGTCAGGCGAAATCGTTGCCAGCGACAACCGATCATTGTCTCTCGGCGAATACACAGAAATTTCGGGACGATGGAGGCAGAGACAAACTAGTAGCTCAGACTACTTCAGCGGTAGCTTTCCACGATCCATATGAAGTGATAAATGAAGATGAAATAAGACAAGGCGCGGCAGACTCAACGACTCCTTTACTGGAGACCGACGATGAAGATCCAAGCGATAACTCGGCCTATCCTCAAGTTCGAGCATCTGTATCCGCCACTGATAATACAACTCTCTCAATTAACACACCTCGCATGTGGGTTCTGTCACTTCTTTTCGCAATTCTAGGCTCCTCAACGAATCTATTTTTCTCCCTCCGCTACCCCAGCGTCTATATTACTCCAGTCATCGCGCTACTACTTGCACATCCGCTCGGGCTTCTATGGGATCGAATATGGAAATGTCGCGATGACCCCGAAGACTTGTTTGTCGCAGGCTCGAGGGTCAGTGGAGAAAGACACGAGGGCCTATGGCGAAGATGGAGATTGTGGATGGGACAAGGAAAATGGAACGAAAAGGAGCATAGTTGCGTCTACGTCAGCAGTAATGTTTCATTCGGGTTCGCATTTGCGACTGACATTATTGTGGAACAGACGCACTTCTATAATCAGCAAGTCAGTATCACATACCAACTTCTTCTAACTCTCTCCACCCAAATTCTAGGCTATACATTTGCTGGAATGACGAGAAGATTTCTAGTTCGACCCGGTGGGATGATTTGGCCCGGGACTCTAATGAGTGCGGCCATGTTCAGTACACTACACAAAGAACAAAACAGCATTGCCAATGGCTGGAAGATAACGAGATGGAGATTTTTCTTCATTGTGTGGGCGTGCTCATTCCTCTTCTACTTTCTTCCAGGCCTTTTTTTTCCAGCCCTAAGTTATTTCAGTGTCATAACCTGGATCTGGCCCAAGAGTGTTGTCGTTGCAAACTTATTTGGGGTCGTCTCTGGACTTGGATTGTTTCCGGTAACATTCGATTGGGCTCAGATTGCATACATTGGATCACCACTTCTTACCCCTTTCTGGGCTGCTATGAATGTTGTTGGAGGACTTGTAATTGTCATGTGGATTATCGCACCCATTGCATACTATAATAACGTCTATTATTCATCATATATGCCTATACTCTCATCATCGGTTTTTGATAATACAGGAAAAATTTATAACGTCAGTAGAATATTGACCCCTGACTTTATCTTCGATAAGGAATCATATCAGCAATATAGCCCGGTATATCTCCCAATAACATATGTTCTAAGCTATGGACTACAATTTGCCGCACTTGCGTCTCTTATTACACACACAGCTTGTTGGCATGGGAAAGACATATGGAAGCAGTGGAGTCGATCCCTGAACGAGGCGAAAAGACAAGGAAAACCCTCATATAGACAAGTACCTACTCAGAATACTGTAAATTCTGGGCAAAGAAGATCAAGTTTTAATACTGAAGATTTAATTTCGCAAGAAGATGTCCACAATCGATTGATGAGTCGATATGAAGACGCACCAATGACATGGTATCTATTTATTTTCATTTCTATGGTCGTAGTTGGTATATTTGTGTGTGAATAGTAAGTAAATGGCTAGAATCTTTACCCTCCGCTAATGAATACAGTTATCCTGTTCATCTACCGTGGTATGGTCTGTTACTTGCATTGGGGATCTGCGGCACTCTCTTCATACCTATAGGTATAGTTATGGCCATTACAAACCAACAATCTTCCATATACCTTATCTGTCAACTTGTATGCGGAGCACTATTTCCTGGTAGGCCAGTAGCTAACATGTTATTCGTAACATATGGGTATATTTCTTCAGCCCAAGGGATCAAGTTTAGTGCTGATCTCAAGCTCGGACACTACATGAAGATCCCACCGCGGATTTTATTCAATGTTCAAATAGTTGCTACGATAGTTGCTTCTTTAAGCCAGATCTTTGTCCTCAACTGGATGTTTGCTAATGTCCCAAACATATGTAGGCCTGATGCATCTAATGGGTTTATTTGTCCCCTTGCTCGCGTTCACTTTAACGGATCAATACTATGGGGTGCTATCGGGCCCCAAAAATTCTTTGGCCCCTACGCCACATATGCTAGTCTCGTTTGGTGCTTTCCCATCGGTGCTATAGCGCCCATACTCCTCTGGCTTTATGCTCGGCGACGGAAAAGTTCTCTCGTCAGAAAAATCAATCTTCCAGTTGTCTTTGGAAGCCTGAGCTGGATTCCGCCTGCGACAGGCCTCAACTTTTCTGTGTGGGCGCTTGTGTGCTATGTCTTTAACCATCTTATCAAACGGCGTGCTGGGCCCTGGTGGGCTAAGTACACTATGACCCTTTCCGCAGCGTTGGACTCAGGCCTCGCCTTCGGCGTCGTTGTCGTCTTTTTTGGCTTCGTTTTCCCTGGTATGATGGATAACTGGAGTTGGTGGGGCACTGAAATCTATAAGAGAGGCTGTGACTGGGCTGCCTGCTCCTACCGATCCGTACCGGAAGGCGACCACTTCGGACCTCTTTTCCCAACGTAACGGTGTGGTCGTCTTATTATTCTAGTAATCGCATTGTCTGAAACAAATACTATTGATAAATATCAGTATGGGCCTAGACTTGTTACCTCAAACACTTGGATTCTGTTTGAATGCGGACAGGAAAGCGCGGGTATTCGAATAGGGTGAATATCACCCAAATCAGAGTGTTTTAGGCAACTTAAGAGTCAGGTCTCATGTAAAGGGCCAAATATCACATGTTATGTATTATAGTATTTGCCCCTTTCTACTGAAAGTAAGATCTAGTTGGTCTCTAAGATTTAACCAATAGTCACTATTTTCTATACGACCACTAATTTTCCTATTTGTAAAAGATTACTGGGAGGGATACTGGGGGTCGAAAAGTTGATAGTAGAAGCTAGCCGGATGCCTAGAACAAGGGGAAATTCATAAAAGTTTGGGCCCAGACAAATGGCATGGTCAATACTTCTGATTCTTCATCTTTAATACACAAGATGCGTATTGTCTTCAAAAAAATAATAGTGCCTTTTTAACTCTCATGTGCGTGATACACGTGCTATAAAGTTAGCCCAGTACTATGTGTCCGTAAGAACTAAACTTAATCGGAGTAGCCCATATAATTCATGAGCTTGAGTAGTTCCGGAGAAGTTTCGGGATCGCGAGTTATTGTGTTGAGACAGTTTTGCAACAAAGTATCTTCACGGGCAACTCGTGTGATCAGGGTACCGATGTAGGAAAGAGTAGAAGGCGGGAGAATATATCGGCTCATTAGAATAAGAAGATCCTTATAAAAGTGAACGAGCGTCATGTGCATGAGTATATCAGTCTTATCAACCATTTGCTCGGCAGCAAAGGGTAAAAGAGCAGGCAGAGGAGTGTCTTGTTTATCTACAGTTACTGGAAATGGCGTATGAATCAATGTGTAAAGATCAAGCATAGCAAGACGAGGCAACAGTTGTAGGAGTCGGGCTTGAGCTAAGGATTTCTGACGCGGGTCGAGTCCAGGCTGGGTTACCGTTTCAACATGCGCGGGCCCACAAAGAGAGAAGAAAAGAGAGTATATGTCAAAGTCGTAGAATACGCGTCTCCACAGGAGCCCTTGGCCGGGCGGTCTCTTTCGTATTACGGTCGCATTCCCCCCCTCATGGTTCAGCTCCGATGGTTTATTTGTTCCATCGCAGTCCATATCTAATAAGTCGCCCAATACTTTTGTTGCGGCTTCTCCAACACTAACGTGTGGCGTGCTAAGCCATGTGTAGAAGAAAGTTGTTAATAATGACTTCATGTTCGATAGGATAGTAGTGTAACTCGGAGAGTGAGCAGCTTTTGAGATAATCATGATGCCAAGAATAGCAGAAGATGGGTAAGTTGATTGTAACGCGTGACATATATCATGTTCGGAAGCTGTGACGAGTATTTCTGTGAACTGCAACGGTTGGAGAAGTTTGGTCGTGAGACTAGCTAGAATTGAAGGGTCTCGTTGATAAGTGGGGAGTATTTTTGTGAGGGGCGGCAAAAGTTGAGGTATAACGGGCTGAATATTTTCATCTGGAATTATTAGCAATTGCTTAGATGACACGGCTTGTTAAAATTAATAGTACGATTCATTGCGGGCGATAGATCGTAACTTGGTCCATGAGAGAGCTTGTGATAACATACCCCTAAGCTGTAGCTCGACTTCATCGAAGAGAGGTTCATCCAGAGGAATTTCTGGGTCTTCTGAAAGTTGAAGTAGGTGATTCTTAAGCCGCTCGAGACCCGAGATTCCTAAAGTTGCCATGACAAATGGGAAGTTCAACGACGGTAAAGAGAATGAATTGTGACCGTCAAAGATGTATCCTAAGGCAGATATTATGAAGCAACGAGTCGACAAACGCGTGATCACGTTTTGTTGGTAAAGCATCTAGATCATTATCTGTCTACTGTTTAGCAATTCACGTAAACGCTTACTTCATAGAGGCTAAGGATATCTATGCTTGGGAATTTATATACTCCCTTACACCTACTTCATAGATCTCTTCAAGCAGTACTTCTAATCACAAGTCTTCATTTACTTTTGTATTTAGAGTACTTTTTGCCCTTCCTTATTCCCTCTATAGACAGCGTAAAGGAAGCGGGCTGCTTCTGTATGGTAGACTGGAAACCCTACAAAAACCGTTTGATGAGGGGCTTCTCAACACCAACAACAGAATTAGATCTACAGATATAGTTACCCTTCTTAGCTGGATAGAGAGACCGGGAAGCCCAGTACTGTACAATTATTTTTGTATTCTTTTTAAATTAACATGCTAGGTTTTGGCAGTCTCGGTGCAGTTTTAGGCGATTGAGGAGTTGGATCGGGCTGTATCAGCTCAGCTAACATCAAGAACATGATGTTCAATCAAGATGAATAACTGAACCTTATCAACCTTCACCTGTCCACCAATTTTACCTGGTCCGGCCGTCTACAGCACCCAACTTTAATGCAACGAAAAACTAGTTCATCTTCAGCCTTGGCCATCACTCATCCGAGCCTTTGAGACTCCCCTATTCTAGTAAATTTACTGTCCATTCAATTACAGCCTTACGTCGTCGATGCATCTACACATCTCTTCCGGGGGCTATTTGGTGTCATAAATTTCAGCGTAAGTAAGAGAATCGCAATCCCACGTCTTGGTCTCTATAAGACAAAGCCTGAACTCATGTCAATGGTGTCTTCTACGAACCTGAGAGTGAAATATTCTCTAAGAGCTGAGATTTATTCACGAAAAATGGAGTTTTCATTAGTTTTCGTCGGGATAACGATCAGGAGGAGTGGTGTCGGCTCATTTTTGGTCGAAAATCTGACCTCCAGAGTGTTACGGTTTGACCGTTGTTTGAGCTTAGGTGAATACTTAAGCGGATTGTTGGGAATATTTACAACAAGGCTGCATGGGGGGGATAGATGAAGCTGAACAAGGCGGCACAACTAGTCAGGAGGTCGAAGCCTTACTACAACTAAGTAACACCTGGTAATGCGTGGCTGGGTAGCAAGTATTGTGCCTAAGGACAAGTCAATAGTCTGTAGATTCACGAGGAGGATTAACTCCTATAAATACCTGTTAGTCGTAGCTAGAATTCTCTTTACTCTTCATATATGTTGAGAAATAAGTCTAATCCATTGCAATTCCAGGATCCTCATGACCCTTATTATGGGTCTGAGTTGTCATCATTAGCCAGGAGTTAGGAGAACCGGAGAGCAAGATACCCTGTACAATTAGCTTGTTTATCACGTGGTTATTGGGTTGTTTTGTTAGCGTGCACGGGCCCTCACTCAAGATGTAAATCTCGAGTGTTGGATCCGTTTTTATTGATAATTATTAAAACCTTTCTCAAAAGGTGAAGTTATATTACCCTAACTCGGTATATATAAATCTAAGTATACAAAAGTTACACATATTCCAAGTATAGAGTGTTCCCCCATAAATCAGCCCATTTAGCGTCGCTCGCTTATTAGGGCTAACATAGGACATGCAAGGATTAAGGTTTACACAATTATTATTTCCCTTGCACTTTTACACGCCCCCTAAACCTGAATCCGCTAATTAATCAATCTACCATTCCAAGTCTTTCAACAAACTCGTTAAATGCCGCATTGTTAAGCGGTTTAGTCAAGCCGTCCGCTGGGTTCAATTTTGACTCCACTTTCCTTATGGTAATGTTCTTGTCGCGAACTTCCTGTGTGGCGTAGTTGTACTCTACACGAACATGTCTTCGGCCAGAGCTGATTCCTGTACTGTTAGCCCATTTGATTGCTCCGTTGTTGTCTTCAAGGACAGGGATGGGTCCGGATGGCATTTGCCCCAGTTCTTCCAGGAATGTCCTTATCCAAGCGCAATCTTTTGTTGCTTCGAAGATGGCTGCATACTCGGCTTCGCAAGTCAGTGTAGATACTGTTGTCTGTAGTTTTGACCTCCAAATGACTGGGCTTCCTCCCATAAATATAACATAGCCTGTTGTTGATTTAGATGATTCAAAGTCATCTGCAAAGCTAGCGTCCACAGCACAATGCAATCCATATTTCCCGAATTCATTCACGTGTCTGTGATCTTTGGTATACTCCAAGCCCTTGTTTGCACTACCAGACAAATATTGGGCTACTCTCAGCGCATGCTTGTGGTGATGGGGAGAAGGATTACACATGTATCTCGCTAATTGAGACATAGCTTGTGAAGTGTCGCATCGGGTCATGCATGCCGAAAAGTTGTATTTTCCTATTAACCTCTGGTAATTATAAAGCTCTGTGCTCGAGGCTTTTCCGTTATATTTCTTCATGTCTAGCCTACTAGCAACTGACATAGGTGTTGGTACGGGCCGTTGACTCTGTAATTCCAGTTCTATCATTGACCTGTCGATGTATTGTTTTTGGTCTAACCTCACACTCCCTGTGGGTGATGATCTTTGGACTCTGACTCCTAAAAACCATGAAGCTTCTCCCAAGTCATTCAGTGGCACTGATTTATTCAAGGATTTTGTTAATGCACTGATTTTACTTTTATCAGGCCCTATTAATAGAAAGTCGTCAACGTACGACGCTACTATTACTCCACTATCTTTATTAAAGTAAATTGCGTCGTCGGCTGCCAACGCTTTAAACCCTCGAGTATGCATTAATGATTTAACTTTATCTTGCCAACACGCTCCGGATTGTTTTAATCCGTACAGTGGCCTTTGTAGTTGGATTATACTTTCCTCTGTATATCCTGATGCCTTACTTAGATCTGGGTTTGAATTAAAAAATTCTTTGAGGTAAGGAAACTGTCGCATATAAATGACTTCCTTTAAGTCTCCTGCTAAGTAAGCTGATATAAAGTCAGCTTGCAGAATGTGCCATTCATTTATGGCTGCCAATGCCATCAATACTCTCCAACTAGCTGATCTAGCCGTAGAAGCTGTTGTTTCATTGAAATCAATACCCTTCTTTTGTAAAAATCCTCTTGCTACAACTCTAGCCTTAAATTTGTCCAGTTCCATATTTGATTTGTACTTTTTCTTAAGCACCCATTTCGCTGAGATAATTTGGCCATTCTGTTTGGCTGAATTTTTTGGAACAAACTGAAATGTTTTCCTATCCACACACCCCTTTATTTCAGTAAAGATAGCCTTTAGCCACTCGTTTTTCTCGGAGCTACTCATTGCTTCCTGCAGGTTAGGTTCATCTGGTGATACGATTTGTTTAGCGACAGATGAAGAGTTAGCTAATAGCCTAAACATGTCGTCTCCATCTCCATGTAGGTTATGGAGTTGCCTCTTGATTGATTTTTCTATGAGGCAATGGGCACTTTGTCCAATTTCTTCCTCGTGATCTGAGTCCTCCTCTGTTGGGCGTTCATCTTCGTTGTTTATGCTTGGGCTCATGTTCTTGTTCCTTGTTTGACTTTCGAACAATGGTGCTTCGTCAAAAGGTCTTCTAATTGTCTTCTTTGGCCGACCTGGTCCTTTAGGTTCATGTGGCGGTGATACACTTCGTGTCCTATTGTAGTCCTCTTCTCTGGCATAGTTGGTTTTCCTAGCTCTCAAACGACGTTGGACGCTGGTTGGCAATGACCTCACTACTTCTTGGGGTTCTGTTGGCCAACCCAAATTTTTACCAACGTTCTCGTATGCTAAAACATTTGGTGAGACTAAGAATCTCCCACCGCCCAATATCCATACAAGTTTGTTTGTACGTCCCTTGTATCCGAGAAACACACTCCTTGCACCCCTGGGGTCTAGCTTTTCTCCTGCAATTCTGCGCGACTTCTCTACATGTGTTATGCATCTTGATCCGGGAATTAAGAGGTGACTGACGTCTGGCTTAATCGGCCTGCCTTTCATAGCTGACCAGAATACTTCATATGGGGTCTTGTGCTGATCGACTGGAGATTGAGATGTCATATTGAGTGTATAGCATGTTGTCTCCATTATTTTGTCCCAAAATACCGATGGTATTTTTGTTTGAATTGTGCAGCATCGGGCAGCGTCCTGTATGAACCTAATTCCTCTCTCTGACACTCCGTTCTGATGCTGATTGTCTGGGGCGGACACAATGATATCTATACCTTGGTCTGCAGCGAATTCCTCAAATCTCGACATGCCCCAATCTCTGCCTCCGTCAATTGTAATCCACCTGACTCTTCTCCCTTCAAGCTGCAGTTCAGCGTTAATATTTCTCAGGATGTTCATCAACTCAACTGCCGCATCCTTTTTGGTCTTCAGTGGCTTGAGGAAACGGTATCTAGATAGATCATCCGTCGTTAAACAGTAGTAACTATTGCCATCCATGGTTTTAGGGTTGCTCGATCCCAAGTCACAGTGCCATCCTTCTCCGACGTATTCAGCTCGTCGTCGTCTCTCATTGGTAGTGTATTTTACAGATTTACCTAGATCACAAGCCTCACATGGTATATTGATAACATCACTCGGGGTTAGGTTTATGCCAGTAGTATTTTTAATTGTCCACCGCAACCTATCTGCGCTTGGGTGGCATAATCTTCGATGCCACAAGGTTAGGTTTCTAATGGTTTCGTCAGAGGGAATTTTTGAATTTTTACTGTTGTGTTCTTTGTCTAATTGGCACGGGAATCCTGATTTGATATGTTTCATTGGTTCATCTTCTCCAGAAAGCCAGAGAAAAAATCCTCGTTTATTGACGTTTATTAAAGATATAATACTTCCATTACTGTCAACAAGCTTTTCACCTTGTAATGAGCATCCACTTCTGTAAAACAATTCGCCGCTTATAATGTTTACGGGAAGATTCTTAACATAAAAGACATTCTT